GGCTCTTAGCACGGGGCCCCTTAGGCCACGCGGACACTCTTCATGGGTGCACGCTCGTATACGTATAAAAAGGGGGATAAGTATGTGATGATCACTTCTCATAGTCTCAGTGAGGCTCCTCACAACCATGCGTATATAAGTGGTCGCAGACAATCAAATCCAGAATCTAAGCCACAACACACACCTGCAATCATATCAAAGAGTTAAACAACAGTCCACGCACTACACGGAGTCAACCCCAACCATCCTCGACACTCACACCCCTCGCTTTAGCCCTGCAAGGCCCAATCTCCTGTCCAGCCAACCATAATTAAATACTCAGCACCTTTGTTAAATGACCATTCAATAAAAGTCTGGGGGAAACCTTAACAAAACAACAAAGATCACCAAGGCTAAAGCCTTTTAGGTTGAGCCCGGGGAAGTGGGTTGGAATTGAGTCGTAGACCGACCAATCGGCAACCGACCTGTTACCTGTGATAACAGAAGAAGATCCTCGTAGAATCTAACTGAGTCTAGTCCAGATCCTGAATCAACTGATCAAAAAGACCTGTAACACATGACAGGCCAATCCCCAAGCTAAATCTATAAGCCCTAAGAGGATAATCACGATCCTACTCCAAAAATCTGCCTAACTAACTAGGCCTAAGTCTACTTTTAAGCAGTGCCCAAAGCAAAGGTAGACCTTGGCAGAGTCTCCCCTATACAGGGTGGATTGCCAGGATCGCTACCTGTCAAAATATAATCTATCTCCTTTAAACCACTAGTACCTGTCTCACTGTTGGGAAATTAGGAAAAACTGGCAGTTTTCCCATTTTCCCCGCAGACTTCGGACGTCAGGAAAGTTCGACAAATGCCTAAGTTTCCCGAAAAAAAAAAAAAAAAAAACCGGGAAAATGCGGGTGTCGGTCCATTTGCACTCCAACGGAGGCAGGCCGGAAGTGGACACGGTACCGGCAGCAGTGTGGCGGGCCACCCTCGGACCAGCGGTCGTCCGTGGCTGGTTTTCGGAGGCAGCGACCGCGCGGACGGGCGACCGGTACCCGTGCAAATCCGACGTGCGGCCTGAAGCAAACGTCCGGCCGCTGTGACGACGGTCAGCGCCGCCGCCATCGCCCTTAGCCCTCTCTCTCTCTCTCTCTCTCTCTCTCTCTCTCTCTCTCTCTCCCTCTCCGAGCTTGGCGGCTCCAGCCGCCGTCCGCTATGGCGGACTCTCTCTCTTTCTCTCTCTCTCTCTCTCTCTCTCTCTCTCTCTCTCTCTCTCTC